AAGTTTGATTTTCATTTTTCATTATATTGACCATGACATGACATATCTTTATAATGTCATCTTCATCTTAATTTTGCTTATTTTAAAAAGCATTGTTAAAATAGTGCATCTCTTCTGTATTTTCCTCCATGGCGGTATAAGTTTGCATAAAGTATAATGGTGTGTGAAGGAATGAAAAATAAAGTTGCTTTACGTTTTTAGGTAACAAGCCTTTTTACTGTAATTTGATATTTATCAAATAAATTTTTTTTTTTTTTTTAATAGCCAAAAAGATGGGTCAGTCTGGTATTATATCATGTATAGCTTTAAGTCCACAAGAACGAGATATTTATGCTGCTGGCTCCTATTCTAAATCTGGTAAGTGTTCATTCTGCATTTGTATTACCTTTACAGCTTATTTTGTTATTCATTAGTGTATTTGATCTATTAATAGTGTGACTGATTTTCAGCGCGCCTGATTCTCACTGATTTCATTTAACCTTTTTTGTGTTAGTAGAACAAATAATGTTAAAACCTCGAAAATTTCAACTACTTTTTAATAATTAATTTTGAGAAATCGTTGAGTTTTTAAAAAAGGCATATCGCCTCTTTGAAAAAAAAACGAAATCAGCGCCAACGAATTGTATTGCAATTTAGAGATATCAAGAATCTCAGACGTAATGTATCAAGTGTGAAGCATTGCATGGACATCTAGTGGGCAATGCTAAATCACTCTTTAATAATGAAATTTACTTCCACAATGCATTCTTTGCGATCATCAATTCAGAAGATGTCAGAAACTGTCAGCAGTACCACACGGTGTTCTGATTGGTTAATGGCATTCTTGACCTATCAGGTCAAAGGACACCATATTAGGTCAAATTGTTCCCCCGAAAAACGTGGCAGATCTCAGCATCTGTATGAAATCAATCAAGTGTTCTTATCTTTTTTAAAGACTAAAATTGAGTTCAAACCATTTGTCCAAAACGAAAAATCTGAGGTGAACAAAATTTTGGAAAACAAAAAACATCACAATTTTGTGATCAATAACAATTTTAGAAGCCAATTAATTAAAAAGATCTTTATAAAATTTTTACATTACATCATTTCTTTCTTTTAGTTGGAGTTTACACCGAGCCTAGAGGGGAATTGCTTTTCCTCTTGCAAGGACACCAGGGAGGTGTGACACATCTCAAATTCTCACCAGATGGCAATAGACTCTATAGTGGAGGACGAATGGTAAATACAATTCTTAATCTTTTTAACATCACTTTTTTTTTTTCACATGAAGTACCGGTAATACATTTTTCTAACCAATTTATGAAAAATTTACAAATGTTGGATTGTGTTGAAAGGACTATTTTGACGACTGTGGATTACTTGATGTTCGCTATTTTCAGTCGAAAATCCACCCCAAAAAAATTATTGTACAATATATATACTCTGACTACTACATGCAGTGGCAGTTACTTTTCAGATTACTATTTATTTTCAACTGTAGTCTGACATCTCTCTTTTCAACTTCTCTGTGGATGTCTGTGCACTATAATTTTAACAAGAAGGTATAGTGAACCCCCTCATATAACAACAGACCCTCTAAG